ATTTACTATATATCTAGCACTAGCATATATTTATGACAAACAGTGTGTATAGTTTCTAATAAAAAAGGATTTCTGATTTATAAAGTTAGTGGCTTGTCATTTATATAAATAGATAATTAAATTTGAGAAAAAGAGATTGAAATCCGGATTGCTCACCATCTTGTAGAGACGTAATCAGTGTAGGGTGGTTTCGATCGAACTTCTCTTGCCAGACCGAAATCGGCGATTTTCACGAGTTCTGTGCCATTACACATGATATTTTCCGGCTTCATATCTCGATGGAAATACCCTGTAACTTTGCTGCATACAGGCTTACTTTAGTTGTTGTTTCTTCGATCTGACTTCATATCCTGTGGTGCTCTTCGATTCTGACGTTTAACTATATATTGCATTAAATTGCGCATGAATTGGGACCAGGGTCAATCCCCCCCCCCCCTTACTCCCTCTCCCCTGTCCGCTCAATTCACTTGGAATTTTTGGGCGGAAATTTGAAACCTGCTCCACACTATAGTTGGCCCTACGCGCGATCCCCTCAAAGCCTTCCTTGGAGACGAGTGCCACAGAGCGAACGGGATTCGTTGGAAAACTGTCAAGTAGAACGTCCACGTGGGAGAGTCCCACGTGGACGTTCCCAGATGATTACGGGAATACGCGGACGGACTCCCATTGAATATAGTCCCATCTGCTTATGAAAGTTTCCAAAATCAATTGTTTCCTCAGGTTCTTTCGCTCTGTACCAGCACTCTTCCTACGACGAAGGCTCTCTGGTACACTTTCATCTGCAAAAACGCGGCTGAAACTGCAACAAATTACAAAATTTCCGAAATTTCTTCTCAATGAAAATATAGAAATCGATATAGAAATATAATATTGTGATATAGAAATTATATAGTAGTACTATTGATATACAAATCTCGGTGTAGCTCGGGGTGGGGCAACTCTGTGAAAAGGCCTCTAGAACTAAGCCTAGGCAGCAGGGACGAACTCCGGAGAATACGAAAATTGCTTCCGCACACCGGAGTTCTCTCCTCTTCAAAAGCTTAGTCCTGAAACGAGAGCGTGATTCCCGTGATTTTGACGCGATGTTGCGAGCCGCTTTGCGCCCAAATCCCCATCAAAATCTTAGCAAAAACTCCAATTCTTTTAAGGTGAATTTCCAATCCATGGATAAATACAAATTACACTATTCACAAATTGCCGCCCTTCAACGCCAATGCCCCTTTATCAATCACAATGCAATTATTATCCCTATCTCCGTTGAACGATGTCATAGTCGAACGGTTGACTAATTGAATACATTTTTAGTTCAAGAAATAAATCGTCACGCTACCACAGTAATGAAATTTATCGATTTCTTCTCGCTGTTTTATTCTTTTTATGATTAAATATTCATAGCAAGTGGTATAGTTTTTTCCGATACCAACTATAAATCTCTTGTAAAATGCAGTCTCCGATCACTTTGAAATTTAGGCGGATTCAATCATTTGAGAGCTGACTGAAGCTTCTTTATCAGAAAAAGTGGCCAAAAAAGCCTAAACGAAATCGCATGCACAGCTCGGTTTGTGCTAATTCGTGGGAATTTTTGACAATTTGTCGTCACGCAAAGCGTATAAGTTTCAATGGTTGGAAGAATTTCACCATACTTTATCAGTTTTGTGACTGCCTAATATAATAATATGAATTGAAGCCTGAATAGGCAAGATACAGTTTCTCAAGAAAGATGGAAGAGAGTTAGAAATATGGCATAAATAGTCTTAAACTACATTACTTTTGAAGCTTTCAAAAATCCCACCTATCTTGATCAAATTGAACAACTACTTCCAAACTACCCTTTGGCTTTTTTCCACATATTTCCAGAAAATTATCAGGATTTTAAGTTCGCAGAATCAACACGTTTGCTTTTTCAACTCAAAATTGTCCATCTCACCTTACTGGCTTCGAGACAACGAAATGTTGCAGAAGATTTGCTCTTCTTTTGCAATAAATAAACAACAATTGTGCAAAATTTGGGGAAAAAGAGCCTTATTTTCGAGGGTAGATAGTGAATCAGCACAAGGCAATTGCATTCCAATGCCTTTACGATCCGGAATGGAAACCAAATGTGTGGCGCATCCCAAAAATATGATCAACGCCTAGCTTCATGTCCTTATGCTTGAGATGGTATAATATAAGCACATACCGTTTCTGTGCATAAATGCGAGTCCCTGCAGTATTTGGTAGATAATATTGCGTATCACGCTTTCCGGGAAATATCGGTCCCTGAATTGTATCCAATAAGTCAGTGCCTGGTTGTCATGGTTTGGCTTGAAAACACGTGGGAACTAACCTGTCCTTCATTAGCTCGTATAGATTTTCCTGCATATATTCGAATACAAAGTAGAGAATGTCGTTTTCTCGTATCACCTGGAAACAAAAAGAGGTTCGAGGGTCTTATACGGGCGTCTATAAATATTGAACCGCATTTTATGCTCAAATTTTGTGGATGTTTATAGCCACTTTGAGGAGGAATGATGTCAACGGGACTAGCTCCTCCACAGATGGCGAAAATTGGTGAGGACCGATGTTATGCCGTCCCGATTTCACTCAAACGAATAGCTCTCCTTTGCCTTGATCCCAACGTGCAGGACCATTCTATGTGGCCTATGCCAGAGGACAGAGCCTGCACTAAACATTGCATCTACATGGATGAGCCGAAGCCTTTTCTCTGCGTTTAACCTTTCGAAGAGAACAACCCAGGATGCCATGCGGGCCCATAAGATTACGGTCCAAACATCTGGAGGCCACATTCCCAGCAACAGGAGGTCCTTATGAATGAATGTCATTCCGAATAGGTAATTTCTTCGCCAAAGATAGTGTGTAACCTCTTGGAGACCAAT